CCTCCCCTGAACCTTCTGCCGTGTGTCCCAAATGCGAGCAAATTACTGCTGACGAGCTAGAACAGCGCTTGAATCAGTCGATTTGCCATTACGGCAGCCCTCTCTACTTCTTCAAGCCCCACACATCAGACAATGTGAATGCGATGCCAGGACTCATGTACTCCCTTGATTATGGCAGACGTTTAGCCTCATGGAACACCACACTCAAAATGAAGCTGGAATGTGAGTGCAACCTCGTGACTGCAAAGGCCTTCGGTTTCTTCGGTCATTACATCAGCGCTGGTGATCTGGAAGTGGAGCTGGCAGGACGTGAGGTTGTTTCGTTCGAAGCACTCAACAGAACAGGGTCAGTTTTCCTGAAGAAGACAGAAGTGAAGGCTGCGTCAAGTGACAACACCGAGGGCAGCTGGAACTACTGGTGCAGCAAACGAGTCGCCTTCTCAGCTGCTCTCACGAAATTGTCCACTCTCTTTGCCACGACCCTTTAGCTTACATCACATTTACTTAATTTACTGTCATTTGGGGACTTTTCACGAAATCGGAATAGCAGCTGATTGTTTGCATTGATGCACTTTGTTTCCTGGGAATGGTTTCCAATGCTTCCACCTGGCTTCACTGAGATGTTAGTGCCACTATGGTGACCTGAGATAGTATTAGGACAGTGGATGTGGCAACAGCCAACGAATGTTCACGTCGAGTTTAAGGAATGATTATTGACTAGACGCTGCGCCACCTCACCACCCTCTTATTCACGTTTTCAGATGTCGGATTGTGTGTTGGTTTTATTTCTTTGAGGTTAAACATGCATTTGATGCTTCAGCCGATTGAATGGGCAGAGAGCTATCTAAAGACTGCGGGCGTTATTCATGAAGAAAATGGTAATTAATTCCGAACCACAGCAAGTGCTATGTAGATAGGGGTAGACGATTACAGTGGTCATTGGACCTTGGCCAAATTGGAGGACGGCATTTCCAGCTCAGTGTCGATGAGGAGATGCCCATTAAGGTAATGCCACTTTCCGTTCGGCTCAATACGCCTCCCGCACCTTCGACAGAAATCAACGACTTTGGTTGCACAAGTTGTCTGACCACATTGAGCAAGAATTAGATTTGATGGGGTCAGCTGTGACCGCCTGCCAAGTACTCACGTGATTTGCGAACGGGTTTACTGCCCGCGAGGAAATTCCACTGCAATTTTGCCAAATGACCTCTGTTCTGCATTAAATGGACCTCTCACTATTTCCTAGACTTGCACGTATCTTCCTCTCAGTCACAAAAATGGGCAACCAAGGTGAAGCATGTTTTACACAGACGTGGATTTTGAACCGATTAGAGTGTGGTTGGTTTGCCAGTTGCCGACATGAATGTCCTCATACGATGTGATAGGTGGATAACAGGTCTGCACCTATGCCGATATCAGCTGCCATCAAACGTCACAGTGTGCGTGAAATCCATGTGAAAACCATTGGAATGTCAAAACCTGCAGCTAGCACAGCGAGGACAAGCACGGAACACTCAG